TACAATATGTGTTGTATAAATGTTTGTGATATATGTATTATAATATATTTTTTAAAGCACAATTCTCTATTGATTCTTTTTTCTAATCTCGCGTAGAAACGTGCTTTTTCTAGGTTGCGAGATGTAATATCTTCGCTATTGTATTTCCAGCAACAGAAATTGCACACTCGCTCGTTACCATTGCTGTAAAGCCGGATCGACATAGCTATCAGTATTGCTACGTTGACAAACACTTTTAATGAATTATCCTTTGTCGCCGAAATATACGTTCCACGTGGAAGTCAAATGCTGCAATAAATTTTCATCGATACAGTGTATGTATAAAATAATACCACCAACGTAACCAGGCTTCGTTGCAACGCGACGTGTCGCAAAATGTGTGCGCGATCCCCGTGTATGTATTACGGCCAATTAATTATCGAGTCGTCACGCAAGTACACCACACACGACCCTATCGATTAACACCGACCAATCTCACCTCTCCTGCCTTTCCTACGCGACGGTTTTTGCACTGCGCCGTAGGGCGAAACGAGAGAGAGACTTAATAAAGCCAACTCGACAGCTATCGATCTCTCCCGCTCGTTCGCGAAGGTACTAAATTTCGCCCATCGAGATCGGCCAAATGGCTACGTTTTTACAAAGCTTCATCTTCGTTGAGCTTCCCACCAGTCGCGGCTACACTTCCTGTTTTTAATCACCCGGCTCTCTCGAATTTGAATTATGATATGAAGGATTTGTTATTATTTCACTACATTCATACATACCCGCACATCCACTCAAACAGAATTCTTTTAACGAAAACTACACATCCTTTTTCTATTTGCATCAGCATCGCTTACGCAGACAAAATTTAAATTCAATTCTCCCTGTTTACCCAGCTTTGATATTAATATCATAACTTATTTCATAATTCTTTTGTATAATCTTTTGTAGAAGAAAAATGTAGTACTCTTATTATGCAATTTTTTAATATAGCACATCTTCATTGTAAGATGTTGTTCCATATAGATTTTTATTTTTATTTGAAGAGAGAGAGATTTCGCATTTGCTTTTATTTTCTGGTATATATTTCTACACCATGAATTGTATAAATAAATCATACATTAAAATATATCCCTAAAACACGTAAAACTTTCTAATGTATTCACTATATTTTAATTATTTTTTCTATATAATAAATCTAATCAAAATAAATAACAGTATAAAAATTGTATGTAATATGATGAAAATTCACTAGAATTTGTTTAATAAATCTATCTTCACAATCTATCACTCTGGTCTAATACGATATGCTATTGTACACATAATGTCTATAGACTCATCGAGACTGAGTAAACGATTGTTTCTTTCATAGCGAGTCCACTTTTCTCGTTGATGTATCGACGTTTCCTGTTTGTGCACGTTTTTATCATCTCTTCCGTTCAATACCAATAATCTTCTTACCTAGCTTCTTAACTAGCTAGCTATGAATACATAATCACGGTATAAGAGCAATAGAAAAATCATAAGAACATTAGAAAAATCAATTAAAAATAATAGATTAAACAAAGTTATAAATATTCTTTATAAAGATATATTCTATTATAAAAAAGTTATAAATTTTTATTCACAGACGTTTGTCGATAAATTAAAGTTAAAAAGCTTTAAGTTTATAAAATAAAACTTTTAAAGTAGCAAAGAAGAGCTCAAGAACTGTTTTGCTCAATATATTTTCAAAACTAAGAGTTTATATTTAATTTATTGAGTTATATATTTTCTAAATTAAGAATTTATTTTCTAATATAATTATATTATGAAAAATTGAAACAGTAAAAATTCACTCACAGAAAATAAATATAGAATTGCGATTTTTGCGAGAAAACTGTAAAATGTGGATTGATATCATACTAGTTCGCTCAAAAGCTACACGAATACTATATCAGCGTACCGAACATAAATTGTAAAAAGTAAGTCCGACATTTCGTTGTATTAAATGGAAACCAATTCGCGGCGAAATATAAGTTTCGCCGAAGATTTGCGGAATGGAATCAGACGTGGCTGCAAACCACATCGGTCGAAATGATCATAAACCTTGGCTGTATTTGAGAAACGAAATAAAATAGAATATCCCACGGCTGGCCCGAACCCCGTTAGAAGGAGCCGGGAAAGTTAATCCGTGGGATCATTGAGAACTCACGCGAATCTATTTGCCGCTTTGGAGAGTCTTCTCTTCGTAAAGTTCTTCTGAACGGGGTTAAGAGATCGGCCATCGGAAGAGCGCCACGACTCAGCAGTCCCACGGTATTTACGGTTTGCCTCGTGTCGCAACATTTTGCGGGCCTCCCCGAGTGTCCGAAGTTTCCAGCGAGAGAAGTTTCCCTCTGCGTTGCAATTAAGGGGCCTCTCAAACGGCAGTTTCAACTCGCGACCGATCCTCTCCTCTCCTCATGCGATCGGTACAACTCTCGAAGCCGAGCCTCTCCGAGAGGCGAATTGCATTCGATATAGGATAATGCTTTCACCGGCGGCCCACGCTTTGCAATCGACGTTGTTTGAGACTTCGATTGAGATTTAACACGCTATCCCTCCCTCAAAGTTACAGACAGTGGCCAAATCTCTCAAACTTCGAATGCAAATATTTTTGTGCCAAAACATTTCATCTTTCACATAATTCATCGAGATATTCGGTGTCATTGCATTGTGTCTAATCTATTAATTCACCTGTATGCGATAAAACCGTATGGCAATTCTGATAACATAATATATTATATGTTAACTTGTGAATTACAACAACAATAAAAAGCAAGATTTAAATGTAGCTATGTCATATATAATATTATAAAGTTTTCTCTGATCTCATCCACTTCTGTCATTTAGCTATAGTAAACAATGGTAATCTGTGTGTAATAAGTCTTTTTGTAATAAACATCCGGCTGAATTTAGTGGATTATAAAGATTAAGTTTTTCCCGACTATTTTTTACTATCAGTGTGCTGTTACATAAAATTAGTAAGAAAGTAATTCACTTACAAGATGACAAAAAGAAATCATTTAATATCTTATATTTTTAATTTTTTCGTTTTATTTTGCAGACAATTTATATTGCTTGCAAATATATCATGACTTTTCTAATATCTAATATAATGTGATTTAATTTAATTTAACTTCAATTAAGATAAAACAAGCAAATATGTTCCGGATATACTTAGGGAGTTGGTGGACTTTTATAAAATATAATAACAGAAATTTATTGTGAGAGAAACATACTATCAACTTTACTCATTATGATCAAATCTTCACATATATATATATATATATATATATTAACGCTTAAGGAATATAATAGATATTATATCCAATTAATAAGTCACCGTTAAATGTAGAAAACAGAATATCTGAACGGTATATAGAATTTCATTTAATTCAGTCAAACATAAATGTCTTAAAGATATGATAATTTCATGACGTCAAATAAAATATAAGGATTAGACATATATAAAACATGACATCAAATCAAACATAAATATTAAACATATATATATCAAGACGTCAAATCAAACATAAGTATTAAACTAATTTAAATCAAGACGTCAAACCAAACATAAGTATTAAACACATAAAAAAGCAAGGCGTCAAATCAAACAACAGTATTAAACATATATAAATCAAGACGTCAAATCAAACTTGAGAATTAAACATATATAAATCAAGACGTCAAGTCAAACATAAGTATTAAACACATATAAATCAAGACGTCAAGTCAAACATAAGTATTAAACACATATAAATCAAGACGTCAAATCAAAACATGAGTATTAAACACATATAAATCAAGACGTCAAGTCAAACATAAGTATTAAACACATATAAATCAAGACGTCAAGTCAAACATAAGTATTAAACACATATAAATCAAGACGTCAAATCAAACATAAGTCTTGGTGAGATCAACAACCATAAGTGACGTTAGTATTTTATAAACATAAAATTAGTACGTTAAACCAGACAAAAGGTATCGTAGCAGCGAATAGATTCAATACGTTAAATAGATGTGAATGACTTTAGTATCCTGGCTAGGCCAATCTTAATAGAATCCTGGCTAGGCCAGTCTTGAAAGAATCCTGGCTAGGCCAGTCTTAATAGAATCCTGGCTAGGCCAGTCTTAAAAGAATCCTGGCTAGGCCAGTCTTAATAGAATCCTGGCTAAGCCAGTCTTGAAAGAATCCTGGCTAGGCCAGTCTTAATAGAATTCTGGCTAGGCCAGTCTTGAAAGAATCCTGGCTAGGCCAGTCTTAATAGAATCCTGGCTAGGCCAGTCGTGAAAGAATCCTGGCTAGGCCAGTCTTAATAGAATCCTGGCTAGGCCAGTCTTGAGAGACTTGTTACCTTGTCGAATCCTTTTAATTAAGAATACAAACGGCTCTTTTTCTTTCCTCATCAGGCGAACTCAAGGGAATTTGTCCTCCAAACCAAGAGATATGTCCCATCTCATAGTTAACCTTAAAAGGTTCCAAAGCGTCCAAGCTCGTAGTTTTCCAAAAGAATTATATATTCAAATCAATCTCTCCTCAATGTCTGAACCGAACGGAAACCTTTTTATCACTGAACTTAAGCGTCTCCACGGACAGTAGAGAATCGACCAACAAGGATTCCTAAGCAACGATACACGTTTGTTTTTTTTTCAAGAGAGGATCGCGAACAGAAGCCGACTCGGCTTAGCGGGACGACGAAGGAAGAGGCTAGCGCCTCAAGCGTTCGTCTTAGGCACTAACGGCCTCTCGTAGCGCCTCTTCTTCCGGCGCGCTACGCGTCACTCGCGGAGGCGAATAAGACGCGAGAATTCAAACGTCAGAGAGTTTCCCAAACATTACCGCCCGCCTTCGTTAACTCGGCTTAACGAACCAACAAAGGATCTTGGTGTATGGGCAATGGGCAGAGTTTGACGACGGGTCGTTTCAACATGGTAGTTTGAGTCTTTACCGTGACTACTCGAGTAAGGCCGTCTTTTCCGGGATGTGTGTCAACGATCCGACCTAGAGGCCATTTGGAAGGTGGATACCTTTCGTCGACTACTAGTACCATATCTCCGTTCTTCAAAGAGGGTGTCGGATGACTCCATTTAGAGGTGTCGTGAAACCGTTGAAGACATTCTTTAGACCATCGGGACCAGAAACTTTCCAGCATTTGTCGTAACAATTGCCATCTGGATAGGCGTGACAAATTAATGTGTTCAAGCGAAGGCTCTGGTAGAACTGTAGGTGCGTGTCCTAGGATGAAATGTCCAGGTGTTAATGCGGCTAAGTCTTCTGGATCGTCAGAAAGAGGAGACAAAGGTCTTGAGTTCAGAACCGCTTCGATCTGAGTTAAAAGTGTTGTCATTTCCTCGAAGGTAAGCAAGTGATTACCAAGGACTCTCTTTAAGTGGAACTTAACCGATTTCACGGCTGCTTCCCACTTGCCGCCAAAGTGAGGAGCACTAGGCGGGTTGAAATTCCATTGTGTTCCGTCTTGGGTGAGTAGGGAGGCCAATTGTTTATGTTCTTGAGATGCTTCAGAGAGTAATTTCTTTAGCTCCGTGTCAGCTCCTATCAAATTAGTACCGCAATCACTGAACAAGTTAACGCAGATTCCTCGTCGAGCAGTAAACCTTTTATATGCTGCTATAAAGGCGTCAGCGGAATAATCTGAAACAAGTTCGAGGTGTGTTGCTGATGTGGCAAAACAAACGAATACGGCAATGTAAGCTTTGTACTGCCGCGCATTTTTTCCTCTCCAGGTCTTGATGAGAAGGGGGCCAGCGTAGTCAATTCCGGTGTTGATGAATGGGCGTGAAGTCGGTGTTACTCGTTCAGGCGGAAGCTGTCCCATGAGCTGTTGCGCTCTCTTTTGTCTGTATCTTGTGCAAATGACGCAACGCAGGATAAAATTTTTTATCGGCAACCGACCTCCAATGATCCAGTAAGAATCTCGCAGGAGGGTTAACGTTACTTGTGTACCTCCGTGGCAAGTTCTCAGATGAGCATCTTGGATAATGAGCTCCGTTAATGGCGATTGCTTTGGGAGGATTAGAAGATGTTTCCTTTCTGGAGGTAACGTTGAATTCTGAAGCCGACCACCCGTTCTTAAGAGCCCGGATGCGTCAATGTATGAAGTCAATTTGGTGAGTGGGTTCGACTTAGGAAGGAACTCTCCTCGTGATAAAAGCTTGATTTCATGAGCGAAGTGTTGCCGTTGAATGCTGTTGATCCAATAGAGTTTAGCGGACTCTAATTCAGTCGTGCTGAGGAGTTCTCTTGGACTAATTTTGATCCGTTTAAATCGTTCAACTGCTCTCTGACACACAGCCGTAATGCGTAAGAGCTTATTGAGATTGGAATATCTTGTTAACAAATCCCATGGGGGTTGCGGTTCAATGGTTATGAGTGAATAAACTTTGGTGGGTCTTTCTTCAAGATTATCCGAGGTAGCAGTTGAAGGGAAGCAATCTGGCCAACAATCAATCGATTGTGAAAGCCAACATGGTCCTTTCCACCAGATGGTTTGGGACGCGAGTTTTGATGGCGACAAACCTCTGGTGGCGAAATCAGCTGGGTTCTCCTTGCCGGGAACGAATTTCCACTTAGCTTGAGGTAGTGTTTCTTGTATTTGAACTACACGATTTTGAATAAAATCTTTCCATCGGGATGGATGGTTCTGAATCCAGGTTAGAGTGATGGATGAGTCCGTCCACAAGTAAATAGGAACGTCCTTCAAGTTGAGAACATCACGGACGTGCGTGGTTAGTTTGGTGAGAAGTACTGCTCCTGATAGTTCTAATCTGGGAATGGTAAGACGCTTCAAAGGCGCTACCTTCGTTTTAGTGGCAATTAGGCAAACGTTAATCTGGTCTTCAAGGTTCACGGTTCGGAGGTAGATTACTGCTGCGAAAGCTTGATTAGATGCATCGCAAAATCCGTGTAATTGAACTTGATTATCCGATTTGATGCCAAGCCAACGAGGAATATTGATGAATTTGAGGTCTTCTAATTCCTCAACGAAAGTTATCCACTGATTTGCCAAAGTGCTTGGTAACAACGCATCCCAATCGAGTTTGTTGATCCACAATTCTTGAATAAGTATTTTGGCTTTGATGATTACAGGTGAGAGTAGTCCAAGCGGATCGAAGAGCTTAGCAATCGTGGATAATATCGTTCGTTTGGTGATAGTGGCCGTAGAAGGTCGATCTAGACTAAATTGAAAGTAGTCGGCAGTAGGCTTCCACTGTAGACCAAGTACTGCTACACAGGAGTCCAAATCAAAAGGTATTGGATCCGGATTTCTCAACCGTTCTGGTGGTAGATGATGGAGTACATGAGCGTGATTACTAGACCACTTTTGTAGCGGGAAGCCGCCCGCCTTGCACAACTGGTTAAGTTGATTGATGATTTCATGGACCTCACCAATTGATTCTGCTCCTCCGAAAATGTCGTCGATATATCGTCCGTGTTTTAGGCAAGGAACTGCTGATGGAAAATTGGTTCCCTCATCTTCAATAAGCTGAGTAATGGTACGAAGCGCTAAATAAGGCGCGCAAGCCAATCCATAAGTAACAGTGGTGAGCTCAAAAGAGTTGACATCCTTGTCTGAATTCGACCATCGGATGCGTTGAAATCTCCAATCGTCGGGGTGTACTTGGATTTGCCTATACATCTTTTCTATATCAGCAGAAAAGACGTATTGGAATTGCCGAAACCAAATAAGAACGTTGAATAAATCCACTTGAAGCTTTGGGCCTGTATGCAATATCTCATTTAGAGAAATTCCGGATGTTGTACGACTTGATCCATTGAACACGACTCGTAGTTTCGTAGTTGTACTACTCTCCCTCCACACTCCATGATGAGGAAGATAAAAATTGGGAGGTAAAAGTTCTTCATTTACATCGGTTATTAATTTCATATGCTGGAGGTCTTCATATTCCCTCATAAATTTGAAATAGGCTTCCGCATATTTTGCGTTCACTTGAAACCGATTTCGCAGAGAATCCATCATTCTTGAAGCTCGATTATAAGAGTTTCCTAAACGTTGAGGAGGCTTCTTGAAGGGCAGACGCACCACATACCGTCCTTGATCGTTCCGAGAGTGGGTATCTTTAAAGTGTTGCTCACATTGTTGATCTTCCGGGGAGATGAAGGATTCTTGGCGTGCACCAATTTCTTCAAGTTGCCAAAAACGATGGAGAAGGTCATATAAGCGGGAATCCATTGAAATATGGTAACTTCGCATAGAACGATTCGTCGATTCCGATGAAGCGGGGCCGGAGAGGATCCAACCAAACGAGGTTAATTGTGCAATAGGCGTATTCGGCGGACCTTTGATTAAACCGTCCTTAATGATCTGAGGGTAACAATTGGAACCGATGATTAGATCAATCGAACTGGGAATTCCATATTGAAAATCGGCTAAAGGCAATCCATCCAGATGTGACCAGGATTCTCCGGAGACTTTACTTGACGGGATCGAACTCGTTAAGCTAGGGAGAATATGCGCTGATATGTGGAATTCTTCTGATGAATCATGGAGAGAAATAATCTTGAAAAAAGTGATGCCACGAGTCTTGTTAGTAGAATGTTCCCCGACACCTATCAGGGAAATACTTGATTTGGAGCGAGGAAGCTTGAGAGCTTGGACAATTTTTTCCGAAATGATGTTGATCTCCGATCCCTGATCTATAAGGGCTTTGATCTTCATGATACGTCCATTTTCGTTGGCAATTAACATTTGAGCGGTGGCGAGAAGAGTGCACATAGACGCCTGATTAGCATGTACAGCGGCATGCAATACTTGCGAGGGAGTGGTCTTGCCTGAAGTTTCGGTGGATGGTTTAACCAATGGGTGTTTAAATTGACTTTCCATCTTGGGAGGTGTTTTTTGGTGAATCGTAGTGTGGTGCTTCTTACCACACTTAAGACATCGTCGAGTTGATTGACATTTTGAAACTCGATGTTTCCCCAAACAATTGTAACATAATCCTAGCTTTGTGATTAGAGAGTGTCGTTGCTGCGTAGTTTGAGAGGTATATTGAGGGCAAACGCTCAAGAAATGTTTGGCAGAGCACACGATACATGAGGAGAATTGTGAGCCATTAATTTTCTTTTGAATCTGATGATAGGCCTTAACTGCTTGCGATGGGATTTTCTTTTTTATTGGCAAGTTTTGCGAATTTTCAAAGGCCTGCAAAGAGAGAAGGCGAGTAACAAGAAACTCACACAGATGTTTCCAAGTCGGAGGTTCTTTTGTGGAACCGAGATGATGCTCCCAGACTTTAACGGATTCGGCATCCAGCCTTTGAACGGTTAGGAACACTAGAAAATCATCCCAGTGTTCAACTGGGCGTTGTAGCGTCTCTAGTGAGCGATAAATTTGCATGATGTTGGTGTAAAGACGCTCGAGCTCACTGGAGGATTCCTTCGCGATCTTCTTGAGGGAGAGCAACGATTGAATTGCTGAATTTACAAGTAGTCGTTTGTTTTCATAAAACGAGATCAGATCGGTCCAAGCCTTTTGGAAATTATCCGCAGTAAGAGCCGTGTTCTTGAGGAGATAAGCTGCAGTGCCAGTCAGACTGGCTTTTAAATATTGCAACTTTTCGACCGGACTTAGGCTTATATTTCCAATAATGATGGAAGAAAATAGATCTTTGAAGGACATCCATTCGGAAGCATTTCCACTGAATTTCGGCAGGTCGATTCGAGGGAGTCTTGTGTGATGAGAAACAGCCAGTTGGTTAGATACAGGTTGAGAGAGAGATTGAGTTGAAGATGTCCTTGGAATAGTAAAATCCGAGTCGTGATGAGCGTTCATCTTGTCCAGAGAGTCCAGATATTGCTCATACGTTCGAGCATAGCAATCCTCTTCAAAATAAGTGTGATTTCGAATCAACTCGTTGTCTTCTGTACTGAGCTGATTGACAGCTACAATAACTGCTTCATGAACAATAGAGAATTTTTCCCAATTCTCATTTAAAGCTGTAACACGAGCTTTAATCAGCCTTGAAGTGATGTCAGTCGTTGGAATTTTATTGAAGCTTTCAATTGCTTGAAAGATCAGGGCACTCAAAGATATCTGCTGCTCGATGCGAGCTTCCACGTGAGAAATCCTCATGATGCTTGAAGATAGATTATCGGTGGTATTAATCCTTTGATGGTATTTCCAATTCAACCAAATTATCCAGTTCTCATATAAAATCCGGCTTACATAAATATCTGGCTCACCTAAGTATCCGGCTCGAAGGACCAAATGTTCCGGATATACTTAGGGAGTTGGTGGACTTTTATAAAATATAATAACAGAAATTTATTGTGAGAGAAACATACTATCAACTTTACTCATTATGATCAAATCTTCACACATATATATATATATATATATATATATATATTAACGCTTAAGGAATATAATAGATATTATATCCAATTAATAAGTCACCGTTAAATGTAGAAAACAGAATATCTGAACGGTATATAGAATTTCATTTAATTCAGTCAAACATAAATGTCTTAAAGATATGATAATTTCATGACGTCAAATAAAATATAAGGATTAGACATATATAAAACATGACATCAAATCAAACATAAATATTAAACATATATATATCAAGACGTCAAATCAAACATAAGTATTAAACTAATTTAAATCAAGACGTCAAACCAAACATAAGTATTAAACACATAAAAAAGCAAGGCGTCAAATCAAACAACAGTATTAAACATATATAAATCAAGACGTCAAATCAAACTTGAGAATTAAACATATATAAATCAAGACGTCAAGTCAAACATAAGTATTAAACACATATAAATCAAGACGTCAAGTCAAACATAAGTATTAAACACATATAAATCAAGACGTCAAATCAAAACATGAGTATTAAACACATATAAATCAAGACGTCAAGTCAAACATAAGTATTAAACACATATAAATCAAGACGTCAAGTCAAACATAAGTATTAAACACATATAAATCAAGACGTCAAATCAAACATAAGTCTTGGTGAGATCAACAACCATAAGTGACGTTAGTATTTTATAAACATATAAATTAGTACGTTAAACCAGACAAAAGGTATCGTAGCAGCGAATAGATTCAATACGTTAAATAGATGTGAATGACTTTAGTATCCTGGCTAGGCCAATCTTAATAGAATCCTGGCTAGGCCAGTCTTGAAAGAATCCTGGCTAGGCCAGTCTTAATAGAATCCTGGCTAGGCCAGTCTTAAAAGAATCCTGGCTAGGCCAGTCTTAATAGAATCCTGGCTAAGCCAGTCTTGAAAGAATCCTGGCTAGGCCAGTCTTAATAGAATTCTGGCTAGGCCAGTCTTGAAAGAATCCTGGCTAGGCCAGTCTTAATAGAATCCTGGCTAGGCCAGTCGTGAAAGAATCCTGGCTAGGCCAGTCTTAATAGAATCCTGGCTAGGCCAGTCTTGAGAGACTTGTTACCTTGTCGAATCCTTTTAATTAAGAATACAAACGGCTCTTTTTCTTTCCTCATCAGGCGAACTCAAGGGAATTTGTCCTCCAAACCAAGAGATATGTCCCATCTCATAGTTAACCTTAAAAGGTTCCAAAGCGTCCAAGCTCGTAGTTTTCCAAAAGAATTATATATTCAAATCAATCTCTCCTCAATGTCTGAACCGAACGGAAACCTTTTTATCACTGAACTTAAGCGTCTCCACGGACAGTAGAGAATCGACCAACAAGGATTCCTAAGCAACGATACACGTTTGTTTTTTTTTCAAGAGAGGATCGCGAACAGAAGCCGACTCGGCTTAGCGGGACGACGAAGGAAGAGGCTAGCGCCTCAAGCGTTCGTCTTAGGCACTAACGGCCTCTCGTAGCGCCTCTTCTTCCGGCGCGCTACGCGTCACTCGCGGAGGCGAATAAGACGCGAGAATTCAAACGTCAGAGAGTTTCCCAAACAAATAATAAACAAAGTAAATAATTAAGCAAGGTAAACTTAAAAAAAAGTTGACAAATCGCATTAATTATATCAACTAATTAATTTTCTAAAAGAATGAATTACTATAGTCGTAGCAAAAACAAGATCTTATAATTATTTATTTGCCTAAAAATAAATCTGTGGATAGAAACAGACCTTCATATTATGTAAAAATAAACATTAAAAAAGAACAATTTGCGCTACAACGTAAATTGCGCATCTTAGAAAAAGAATACGAACAAAATATATATGTATAGTAACTTTAAAAAACGATTCTTTAAGTTATTACAGTGCGTACACTTTGCAGGCACGTACAAAGAACTTTCCAATTAAGGTTGCCGTAGTAACGACAACGACTGCACGCGCATAGACGAGGGATCAGAAAAGCGATGGAACCGCGTAAAACACCGCACGATATAGTGGGAAGAGCTTGAGATGATGTACAAGTGCTTTGCAGCAGTTTGTAGTATAAAAGAGAGAGGGAGGGAAAGAAAGAAGAGAGAGAAAAAAATGTTGGGTCGTGCGCGCGTCTAATTTCAATTTTCCGCAAACGTGGTACCATATCGCGCGCGTCTCTGGTTTAATTAAATTTGTTTAGAGATCAAGCAAAATAGCCGGTGAGAAAGCACGACCGTGTCACAGCTTGTGAAGACGCCGTAGAACCACAGGTCATTGCCGTCCTTCACCTTCGCGCGTGTCTCAAAGATACTATACGTACTTCCCACACCCTTATCCAGTTACAAGTCGCTCGATCCGATCGACTTCCATGAAGACCGCGTTTCGCGAAGATCAGAGCTTCCGGCGAAAAAGCTTTTTCTCTATCGCCCTGAGATTTTCGTGCTGCAGAATGGAAGAATTTTTCTTAGGGGTTCGCAATCTCTCTCTCGCAAGGAGACGTATTTTTAGGATCGTTCACGCCCACAAAGATGGTTTGCAACTGTCGTAAACGGTGAAAATTTAAAGGAAGATCCCTTGCGATCATGGGAGGAAATGCTAGAGGGTAATGATCAATCCCGAACGCTTTTCAGCAACTTTATTTCACGTCCGATAAAAGCAAAATAAAATACAAGTTACGAGTTAAATTGATCGTACTTTTGCGAGAGGAATTTTAAATGCATTGTCAACTATTAAAATAGCTTAAGCTCGAAGCACGTTTAAAGTAGATGCATTAAACATTAGTTATCCAATTTTTAGTGCTTTAATATCTCGTTTTTCCTAATTGTCACGAAACCAATAAAAGTTTAATTTATTTGATTTACTTGCTCAATTTTACTTACTCAGTTTTTCCTAATTTGTTTTATTTCCAACATAATGACATCTAGTTCTCTATTTGGTATCAAGTATCATAAAATGCATCAAATGAAAAATATGTTTCAATTAATGTCTGATGTATGAAATTATGAAGCTTGATGAAAATGTAATTAATAGATGTTCAAGAAGAGTAAATTTCAAATACATTTTTTCTTTTAATCATTGATCTTGCAATTCTAGTACATGTATTTTTAAGTTGCTACAGAAAAATAAATTGTTGAGTTAATAATAATGAATGTATAAACAATGTATAAACATTTAAATAAAAAAGTAAATAAGTTGAAAATTATATGAATAACTTGAATAACTTTTATATAAAATATTAAGCAATAATGCACAAGCACAAAAAATATTAATTGTAAGTCTATATTAATATCAAAAGAGAGAAAAAGCTACATTTTATGAAATATAGAGAATAATATATTATTTTATAAAAATAAGATAATTTAGAGTTTATTATATAATATAAACCTTAATTTGCTTTATAATAAGCCACTAAATACATAATTAATTCAAATTTCAACAATCAATTAATAATATTTAACAATATATATACACAAAATTACATTTATATAAAAAAACAGTAATATCGCATAACTGACTATTTGTTTGCTATTGCATGCGTTGTTTAAAAATGATAAATATTAGACTGTTTTAACATATTTTCAAATGCTTCAGAAAATGTCTCAATTTAAAGCTACAGACTGAGCCCGTTGACATAAAAGCCATTCAGTTACGTTTAATTTGACATTGAGAGTATAAATATTTCATGCCTCTTTATATCCTATATACTTCTAGGTAAATGCATAAACGAGACATGAAATTTTGCACGGTAGGGAATGTTATATCCAGCAGACAACCGCAATTCATTGGAAATTCTACGAATTTCTGCTATAAGCCACGTGCTTTTGCTAGTGTGCATTCCATTCGACAAAATTGTAACGCATGCTCCGAAGTCCTCATGACACGTCATTCTATCTGTATGCATCAAGTACCGTTCAATGTAGCCACATTAAATACCAGAATAATTGCTTCCCTTTCACATGCGCGGCCCTCTATAAAGTGATTTACATGCGTCACATTAAAACTTTTGTCTTTTCATCTAATGAATGCGATCGTTCATTCTTCTATCTATTTATATTTGTATACGCTGAATGTGTATCAAGTTAAAAAGGGTTCTGAATGAAATTAAGAGATCGATAAAATTTTCCATTTATTTTTTGCGTGTGCTATAATTGTTCGATAAGTGCTTAACATGGCTGACTATAATTACTTCATAAAAAAAGCGCTCTCTTCCTTTCTCTCTCTTTCTCTTAATGGATCTCACTAAAGCGAGATCAGACTCGTTAGCTGAACGCAAGCTCTCCTTTTCCCTCTGTATCTTTCTCTGTCCTTCTTAGTCACCCTTCTACTTTATAAACTCTCTCCAAGCCCTTTGCATCTCGCTGTGTATGTGAGATGCGTGAGATGCAAATTGAGATAACTCAGCGCGATTGTAACACGTCGCGAATCTATATGTGAATCCATATGTAGATACGCAAGAGTGAGCAAGATCGATCGACAGAAGCGTGCAGGTTTACGCGTAATACAAAGGATATTGTGCAAGCTTCGTATAGTTCTATTCTGGAACAATATCGGTACTGTATACTTGCGCTCGAATTTGAGACATGAAGCATTCTGTTTGATTTTGACACATGCTAATGGTGCCTAAATTGCTGATTTTGAAAAAAAAAAATTTTTAACGCAGTTTTCTGATAAAATTAAAAAAATGCAAATATAATCTTCTCTCGACTCTTTATCATAATATTGTAAAAACATTTTTTCAACATAAATAATTTAAAATATGTAAG